ACTTAAAGTGTTAGCAGTGTCTCAACATCCACAGTGGTTAGGCAGGGAGTTTGTGAATTGCTCACCTGGAATGTTGTAGCTAAATTCTACTACAAGTACTTCAGGTGCATGAATACTTGTTTGGTTCCGACTCTAAACCAATTGGTTACTCATCTACTAAAGCACCTAATATCTATTAGTTAACTGTTTATTAATCCTTTAAAAATGGAATCTTAATGCCAGAGCCAAGTTTGTTTTGCATGTTTAGGGTGATTATCATGAGATCAGCCACCACAACCCCATCTTCAGTCTAGGAGTCCAACGTTTTTAATTTCTCCTCAGATAATTTATCAAGATTAATGACACCAGGATTAAATAATAATAGGAAATGACAACTTCTAGAATTAGATATGCCAAATCATTTATCATTTTCAATAACTGCCATCAACCCCAATTTGCAAGGATCAAACTGACAGAAATAAGTGGAATTATTAATGAGCTAATAACTCTATTTCTCTTAGGGTCTGTAATTCATGATTCATTTAAGAAACTAATTAATTACATCAGGATAGTTTCAAGTCAGCCTGGGTAGTGGCAAAGGCAGGGCAAGCACTGGGGTTGGGGTACAGAGAGGAAGAGAGAAGGAAGAGAATTACATTCTCAACCAGTGAAAAGTCTTTGGCCATTAGGTGTACGCTCCTGTTATCCCTCTTGAAAGTATGCACTTGTTTTGCCATTATACTCCAGCAGTTGACAAACCTATATGCATAGACGTATATGTACCTAAATAATTGAAGGAGGAAATAGAACTAGAAACTGAGACTAGTTACTTCAGGTATAATTAAGAGCCATACCTCCTCTTTTTGACCAATTTTAATTTTCAAAACATCATATCTAGATATCTACATAATAGCATTACAGAGTGGACCAGTTGTTCAAACAGCCTTCCCAGAAGCAAAACAGTAACCATATGGAACACAACATAGCTAATAACTCGACCTCATCAACTACTTTGGGATGGATGCAAACATTGGTCAGAAATCCCAGATGAATGTAACTCAATCTTAGCTTAGATGCTGAAAGCTACACTGCCTTTTAATTCAATGTAATTCTTGACATAAGAAAAACCATCACTGGCCTCTGCTACCAAATAATGTCTTAATGTTGTTATTGATAGACATTTTAGCAGCGTATAACAGAAACACAAGGCATTACAACAGTATTCAATGAACCGACTACCTCCAGAATTCCATAAATATTTATTTATTGTTATATGATAAGCTAGTAAAGATCAAGGTGGAAATCATGGTGCCACTGAAGCTGTTGGAAGTATTCCCTTGACTTCACTGAAGTCAGAACTGCACCCCATGGGGAAAAAAAAGGGTAACAAAAAATTCCAGTGCAGAAGTTCAAAGGTGTTACTCGTATATTCATAATTACTGTGTTATTAAAGGAATGACATCTTCTTTAAGATAATGGCCTGGACAGTGTACACTGATGCTTCAAGTTGTTGTGCTCCATTTTTGATGCTCTACCAAAAGCAATTTAAACTCATCATAGGCAAAAATAACTTCTGATTTCCCCTCCATACACTGTGGTTGATTTTCCTCTCTCTCCCACTACTGTAGGAGATACATTCTCCTAGTCATTCAGGCCCATCTTTTTTGACTTGGCCTTTATGCTTGACCCACAAGTTTTGTTGCTTCTGCCTATATGTCCCATCACTTGTTTGTTTAGAATGTCAAGGTTATGAATCCAGTCTCCTTCTCTCCCGTACTGCTACCTGCCACCAGAGGCAGAAGTAGAAAATATTATTTGCGGGGGCTGAGCGTGCGCGCACATGCACACACACACACACATATACCCCGGCCAGCAGGTAAGTCAGTGGAGGGGAAGGAAGAGAGGCTATTAAAGCCCCCACAGTGAGGGAGGGAGTGGGGCAGGGGCTGGAGTGAATTGGGTTCCGGGGTGGGTTGTGGGATGGTCAGAGCCCGGGAGGCTTCTTCAGGAGTGCGGGGCAGCTCTTGCTGCTGCTCACACCCCAGGGGAGGCACAGAGGGCACATGGCCCCTGGATTCATGTGCTGGGCAGACAGGCTGCCACTGTGGGCTGGGGCTCTCCACCCTGCTGCTGCTGAGTAAGACCTTTTTTTTTTTTTTTTTTTTAACCTATCATGCAGTCATCTCTGTATACACTACTATCAGGGGCCTGAGTGGCATCCAGGAGGCCACAGCGGCCTGTTGTCCTAATCAAACAGTTACCTGACTGGGGAACAGGGCCCAGCTGGTGTACATAAGGGTTGGGTCCCTGAACAGCAGGGGCAGCAGTTTGCTGCTACCAGCTGAGGAGGCAACATCCAGCTGAGCTGCTGCCTGGAATACCTTGGAGGTAAGGGCTGGGGATATGGGGAAGGAGAAGACCCCATGGTTCTGGGCATGACCTGAAACTGCATCCTGCTGGGGAAAGGTGGCCTGGTGGAGCTACCTGTGGTGGGGTAGCTTCCCAGAAATGCCAGGCCAGTTACCTCCCTGGTGAAAGGTGGGTAGGGGTGCCTGAAAACCCCAGCTCCCACATCCCTGATAGGTTCGATCACTGAGGCAGAGCCCAGGTAAGTGGAGGGACCTGTGGCAGCACCCAGTCTTGCAGGAGAGCCTCGGAGCATTACAAAGCCAGGAGTTAGGCTCCAGAGGGATGGGGCCCTGAGCCTTGGGGAACAATTAGGGAAGTTCCTGGGGCAAAGGGATATGGGTAACTTAGAATGTAGTGGGATGGGGCTTGGAGCCCTAGTCCCATAGTGAGGGGCTTGGTGCCTGGACACAGGGCTGGCTTGTAGTTTGGGCATAGGGCTTATGGCCAGGAGAGGCTTGTGGCCCATGGACAGAGCTTGGAGCCTGAGGAAGGGGCTCACAGACCCAGAGAGTCCAGTATATATAGAGAATGTGATAAGGCCAGGTGTGAGGCCAGGTCAAAGAACCCAGTGTGAGGGTGCTGGGACCTGAAGCTCTGGTGGGGAGTGAGAGTCCCACGTGAGACTCTGGAGCTTGTGTCCCAGTGCTAACTAGCTGGAGGAAACATCTGCAAGGCATTGGATACGTTAAGGGGAGGTCAGAGTGTGTACAGAGGCCCTTGTCATCAGGGCAGGTAAAGGGCAGCCTCCTGCCTGCTTAACATCAGATAATCAGAACATCAAGGCATGGCAGATGAGATGGGTGGCTGGTTAGCCTGGGAACAAGTGGGCAAGCCTACATTGACATTGCCCCTGGGACCCCCACTTGTTACAACTACACCGAGACAAATCGTGACAAAAATATTTTTTGTAATAAAATTAAAACACGTTATAGTAGATGTTTGACTCTAAGTGTATGACCTGTTTTTTTTTCTGGTTCAGATAGCAGCCCCCCCCACAAAAGGAGTATTTCTGGGAGGCAAGAGGAGGGACTTCCAGTGGCAATGGTCAGGGGTTAGGGGCAGGACTTCCATTCCCAAGGTAGCGACCATGGGGCGGGGAACCTCCAAGGGGTGGGGCTACCTTTGCAACCCTCGACAGCTCACCAAAACTCATTAAACAGCCCTCCAGCCAAAATAATTGTGCATCCCTGCTTCAGAGCACTTAATGCTTTCTGATGCCCCAGAACAAGACTATTTCCTTCTCAGTCTTCTATTTGTTCATATGTTGTACAGCACAAGCCAACTCAGTGTAGTTTTGTATTTCTTTGTGGATTTTTAAAAACTAATGATGCCAGTACAGCTGTGACATCAGATAAGCTCGACCATATAAGGTGTTTAATCCCTCAACTTCCATTGATTTCAATAGGAAATCAGTTTGTACAGGCAAAGTGTCTTTAAGTGGGCCTCACAATCATCAGTTCATTAAGTCCCACAATAGCTCAGCAATTTAGTAGTATTATCGCATATGTAGCCAAATAAGTTGAAGTACAGAAAATTATATATAACCTGATTTTGAAAAGTGCTAAGCCTATGTATTTCTACTGACTTCTACAGGAGTTCTGGGCACTCTGCACCTATGAAAAATCGAGCCACTTTCAGGTGACTTGCTTGATATCTCACAGATTTAAGAGCTGAGCGGAGAAAGGAATGAACCAATCCTGACTGACACTTCTATTTATAGCTACAAAATTAGTCTTCAGTACCAAAACACAGGTGTTTTACAATAATAGAAATTGTAATTTTGGCATGTTGAAGTATCAGGTGATTTTATAGCAAATTTCATAAACTCACCTAACACTTGCTATATAAATAGTAAGATTATATATATCACTTCTCCCTACACAGTGTCCCAGCTTTAAACTTCCTTGCTCAACACCTTCCCAAATAGGAAGGTCCTATAGCACTAACATTGTATTTGTCTCTACTGTGGGTACCTCTGTACTTCTTAGGTTTGGTCAGAACTAGAAGTAAAAGCACAGGAAAAAAATACTCCATGTACCTCCAGACCTGAGACAACCAAGATATTTTAGAAATCTTGTGAAAAAATAAAACAAATATTTTCACAAGCTTTCCAATAAATTTCAGAAGCAAAACAAATTTGGATAAACCACCAAACTGCACCCCAAACCTTTTCCCATCACTGTTCTGTGCAATTCTGGGCTGAAAGTAGTCAATAGTGAACCTTCCATGAAATTACTCTGATAATCTAATAAATATACAGTATTAAAATTTCTACTAACATATTCCATTAAGTCACTAGGACTGCATAATAGGCAAATAAACTTGAAATCTGGCCATACACTCAAGTCTCTGATTAACTATGAATTAATATTATAAACAAATATAATGGTGTTACTGTGCTGGCCACTATCTTGGCTGACAGAGTGGGGAATGAATAAGTGACCTTTAGTGCTAAAAGCATGTGCTGCTGTAGTTTGAACTAAATAGCCAAGTTCCTTAGTAGGGGATTTAACAGTCTCAAAACTCCTCTTTGCAGCAGGCATAAAGAAGGACCTGTTACACATTCATTAGTGAGCTATTATTTCCAGCCATTATAGATAATATCCACCTACCTGTCTTCCTTCCATTGCTCCTCGCATTTCCTTGAACGTTGAACTAAATTCTCCAATGAAGTCATGCTTCCCATTGGAATCCCAGTCCCAAACTATGCACTGGTGAGAGAAAGGGGGAAAGAACAGAGGAAAATATTTCTTTAGGAAAAGAAGTTTGTACGAAAAAAAGTTCACAGAAGAAATCCCAATATCTATTTGGTCAAATATTATATCCTGAAACAAATAAAAGCATATTCTTGTCAAAATCAGAATGAAACAACAAATGAAATCTCAAAAAAACTTTCCAGAACAGACATGTGAATAATATTATTAGCTAATGGAAGTAAAGTTGTGATCTTAGTGAAAGATTCAGTTGAACAACTTACATAGTTGGGTATAAAAACACCTAGGGTATAATTGCATATCAGTATTTACATGGTGTTCTGAGTTATATAACCCTTTAAAATGCTTTGCAAGGATGAACAAACTAATCTTCATGACACCCAGATGAGCTTGATAAACATTTTATAGTCCTTATTTGCATTTAGTGAATGAGAAACAAAAGTTACAGCGAACATTGTCCTGGCCAGCACAATGGCTGAAAGAGACCTTGGGGTTATGGTTGACCACAGGATGAACATGAGCCACCAGTGTGATGCTGTAGGCAACAGAGCTAATAGCAGACTGGGATGCATTAACCAACGTGTCATGAACAGGGCTAAGGAAGTGATACTTCCTCTCTACTTGGCGTTGGTGAGACTCCAGCTGGAGTATTGTGTCCAGTTCTGGGTGCTGCACTTCAAAAAAAAAGACATGGAGAATCTTGAAAGGGTCCAGAGAAGGGCCACAAGAAAGATTAAGGGCCTGAAGGACAAACCTTATGAGGAAAGACTAAGGGATCTGGGACTGTTCAGCCTGGGGAAGAGGAGAGTGAGAGGGGACTTGGTGTCTATAAATATTTAAGGGGTGAATATCGGGAGCTGGGAGAAAAACTGTTCACTAGGGCACCACAGGGGAGGACATGGAGCAATGGCCATAAACTGTTAGAGGATGGTTTCAGGTTAGATGCAAGGAAAAACTTCTTTACGGTAAGGGTGACCAGAATCTGGAATAGACTTCCCAAGGAGGTGGTGCAGTCCCCAACCTTGGAAGTCTTCAAGAGGAGACTAGATAGACACCTTGCTGGTATCATTTGATCTCAGCAGTATTCCTGCCCAGAACAGGGGGGCTGGACTCAGTGATCTTTCAAGGTCGCTTCCAGTGCTTAATTTCTATGATTTCTGTGATTCTATAATGGTCACAAAGTTGTATGACTCAATGTTAGATGGTCATGTTGAGAACTTGATGGCTGCTTTCCCAAACTGGTAATCATCTGCTGTTTATACTGACTTCATCTGGAACTATTGGCACTTGGGACTTCTAAAAAAATCAGACCTAAGCTATCTCAGGTGGAACCCACAAAAACCAAGAAGCCCAAAATCAGAGATGCCATTAGAAAATATTACACCTTGGGGCTTGTCCTTGACTAGAAGGTGCTGGGATTAGAACGCTACAATTCCTCACTGTAAACATTAAAGCATAATGCCAAATAATGTATAAATAACTTTAAATGAGTAGCCTGCTATATTTAAGGTTGTAGAACTATATTCATTTCATCCTTCTGCTTTCAATACCCCAGAGTATCATTTGTAAATACTAGATTTTAGGTAACTTGAGAAGTCTTCCTCTTGAATTTTAGAGGATTTAATATTTATTGATTTTGATTAATAAAGACCAATTGCTTAAAATAACAACTGACCAAGTAGGCGTTACCTATGAAAGCTTATGCCTCTCTGAACTTTAAAGCCCAGAACCTCAAGTGCCTCTGTTTGTTCTTTCTGGCTATCACCTCTGAACTTGAACAGGGCCAATATTAGTCTCTCAAGGAAAACACAGTATGTCTATCTCCCAACTGGAAAAGAACTGGGAAGTTATTGCAGATTACGGATAGCTAGGTACTCCTTGCAAGAGCTCTAATGAAAAAGGTCATCACTAGAGTGAAACAATTGCACTAACTTCAATTTCCAAATAGCCTTCAAACACAGACCCATTTAGAACACATGGCATGAACTGAAGCTGGAAGTGATAAACATGAATGACTCAGCAGAATTCTGCACGTGAAATATTGTAATTGGTGTGTAAACTGGACAACTGAACCAATCAGGCTTTCTAATTCAGCAAACTCCCTTGGTAGGGGAGGCATGATTGCTGAGTGCCAAATTACTGAAATAAAAGAATTGACTGGCTTTCATTTTTTTCCTTAAAAGCTCTCCAACTCTGTCACAGTGAGAGCAAAATGACGCACAGAAGGCAGCAGCTTGTAATGGAAAAAACAAAAACAAACCGATAGCAGCTTTACCAAGTCCCCATATAATGCTCTTATGTTGCAGATGTGAAGTCTGCAATAATAAATTGTATTTGATTAACATTGTTTAATCAAGATGTACAGTTAATAAATGGCAAACTGCTTAGCCTCCTGCTACTGAACATGTGCCTACTTCTAGTAAACCAGCTTCAAATGTAGATTTCAAGTGTTATTTTTAATTCCATGTCAGTCAGCTTCTTTTATCCCTGTAGCCTCTCAATATTTATTGTTGTGGAAGCTGCATGGGGAAGTTTTCACTACATTCATAGAAGTGATGAATTCTACTAAAATCAATGATTAAGCCGTTGCTCATTTTAACACTTGTATTCCTTTTTACGGGCATGTTTGTTGTAGCTTGTACCTTCCAGATTGTTTCCTATTTGGAGTTCCTCATAAGTAATTAGTAGGTTAAGTGTCTTTGACCCACAAAAAAAAGATGTGCAGTTGCTACACAGGAATGATTGTGGGGAATGCTGCAATCATGTACTTGTACTGTTGCAATGTCAATGGGAATGGTTGATTGATTAGACAACCTCTGATTCTTGAGTGTTTTGTCATTTTTTCACCATAGAAACAATATTTTTTGACCTTTCTATGAAAGTATCCCAAAGGGACAGAAAATCCTGAACTCAAACAAGCAAAAAGATTTTTCTCCCAATATGGCATTGAGTTCCTTGATGACAGGTCTGACAGATGAAAGAAAAACATTCCTGCATGTGCAACCAATACAGAATGGAGTTGGGTTTTTTGTTTTAAGAGCAGGAAAGTTAGTTAAAGTGTTTCCATCACTCATAGTAGAGATGAATGCTTTATAATAAAATCTTCATTAAAAACTGGTATGTATTCTTAATTGCAATGCACAACTAGTAAGAAATGAAAAAATTCTTTGCAATAAAAGTGAAATTTTAAAATTATTTCTATTTGACGAATTTGAGATAGACCTTGTGTGATATTTCCTCTTCAATTATATTAATAAATGAAGCTTACATTTTTTTTACTGAAATTCTTTTCTAAATTATCATTTGCCAAGGACAAAGTTTTCAGAAGGAAATTGCTGTTTTCATTAAAAAAGAGATTTTTCTATAATGATGGCAAAATATTTTAATGAAAGCTTTTAAAAAAATTAGTAATAGAAGTATTGGTAAAAAGGTCACAGATAAATTGAAGAAAAATGAAAATATTGTTTAAAAATCCAACTTTTTAAAAAACAGGTTTTGAATGAATGTCATTTATCAATTAAAAAATGATTCTCAAATTAAAAACTTCAAGCAGCTCCTGTTTGCAGTTTGTCAAATTAAGCTCAGATTCATCTTCAGGGATGAATATCAGAACAGACCCAATGTAACCACTGACTCCAAGCATAAGCTGGTTAGATGCTTTTAAACAGCAGCAACAACACTCAAGAAACAATCAAGAGCAATTTTGCTCTTCTCCCACAGAGCAAAATTAAATGGCTGGTGTGATGGACCATCAATGCACAATTAGGTTGAACCCCAATAACTGTTCAGGACCTTTATGTTGATTGATTAGTAACTGGAAGTGTTTTTAGAGATTTATTTTTCAGCAGAAAAGGAAAACCTAGGCACTGGGTTTCATCGATTTCATAGACATTAGGGTTGGAAGGGACCTCACAAGATCATTGGGTCCAGCCTCCTGCCCAAAGAGGTCACAAAAATCTTCGATGGAAATGTTTTGGTTCTTTGGTGGAAATTCTTGGTTTATATTAAAAGAGACTCAAAACATTTTTCCTACCAAAATATGGCCAATTGCATCATATTGCTAAGGACAATGTATTTAAAGAATATAACCAACTTTGTTTAATGTAAAGATGCATCAGTCTCCAAATCTTATATTTACTGTATACTGTTCTGCTTTGGGCTTTTAAATTCATGTATATATTTTATAGCAGCTCTGTTCAATGTGTAATTATGTTGTCTGTGGGATAAAATTTATGGGATACATTCACCCATTTGCTTCATCTGAGTTGCAACACACTGGCAAAGCAAACCATGACCAGTTTATCATTGGTTTGAATCCTCAAAGTGGCCCAAAGTGGCTGGAGCATATTAGTGAATCTGACCTCTCATTCATGTATTACATGCCAAAAGAAACATGTAAATATAGTACTGTTTAGGCTGCAAAGTCAAGTATTTGGAAACTTGGAAGCATTTGATTTGAGACTGCCAAGACAGCTTTAATTCTGCTATCACTACCTTCCCAGTACCTTTTCTGTATAGTGAAAGAGGTAGGGGTCATGTGAAAGAATAATGATTATTAAAGACTATCATAATATCCACAAACAAGGGAACCTAATACAAATTTACAGAAATAAAATAATGTGAAATTCTACCAAATCTGAATGGAAGAGATTTACATCTATTTTTCAAAGTGTATAAACCTAGATAATAGAAAAGTCCAAGGAATTAGACCCAGTAAGTCATGTTATTTTATGACATTACTGTAACATAGCAAATTTGTTGTATACTGAATAGTTAAAAGTTTTTTTATTAAACGCACAGCTATGAAACATTTCAGAGTCCAACTTGACTGGAAAGCAGATTATCTGCTTTCCCTCTTCCGACATAGATCAGCTAGTAAGCACCCAAAGCCAACGAGAATGAATGCACTTAAAATTTGAAGAAATATGCAAAAGTGCCAAATCCACTCTTGCCTCATGGCTGAAGCCTCAGCTGCCATTACAGCAGGATCTCCAGAA